AGCACAGTGGTTACAGAGCTGCCAGTTCCCCATCCTCCTTGGCTCTCCTGTCCTAGCTATGTGACCTTGGGCAGGTCATTTCACTCCTGAACCTCAGTCTGTGAAATCTGTGAAATAGGGTCATATATATCATGAAGGGGTGTTGTAAGGGCTAAAAACAATGTAAATGACATGCTTAGTTCAATGCCTGAAACATAGAAGAGGCAACATAAACAGTAGCTGTTATTCCTTCTGTACCTCCCCCACAACTCCATCTCCCTCCCCTAATCCCTGCCTGACCCCATTCCTCAGCTCAGCCTAGAAGGTCCTCTCCATGGAAAGTCACTGATGGGTAGTATCTACCTCCTTCCAGGCTGGGCTTTGGAGAGACTCCCTGGTACTACAGATGAGGAAATGAAGGCTGAAGGGAGGGCAGGGACTTCCCTGGGCCTCACAGGGAGTCGGGGGAAAAACCCAGGACTGCAACTGGGCTCAACCCATGAGGATTCTTCTTTTTGTGTTTTATTTTTTAATTTACAATCAGAACCAAAACAAAATGAAGGGAAACTGAAGGAAAACACATGCAAGCACAAAAGAAACTCACATGTGTGGGCCAGCATGGTTGCAGGCATATTATATAAACATTCCCATTCAATTCCCATCACAACCCTACAAAAAACCATTATTCTCCTTTTATGGACAAGGGAACCAGTTGAAAAGAGGTTTCCAAACTAGATAAAGAACCTAAAGCTAGGTAGAGGAGGAACTGGATATCTATCTAACTTAGGTGTGTCTGACTCCAGATACCTATGATGTCACCCCTCCACCATAACCTGTTTTACTCATTGGTCCTAGTTTCACAGAATTGTAATCATAGTGACGCTCTCCATGGGAAGGTCCTTGTCAGTGTCCCACACAGGTGGTCACTCAGCCGTCCCTGATATATCCCAGGATGGGCAGTTACTTGCTCACATAGCTCCTCAGCCTTTACATACCTATTATTTCATTTAACCTGCACCACCACCCCCAGGGAGAAGACGTGACAGAATTTATGATGTACCAGAGGTCACGCTCAGCAAATATTTGGCAAAGACAAGACTACAATCTTGGTTTCCTGTCTCTTGCTGTCAAAACCATGTGATTGCCAGCTCCTACTAGAGCCCTGGGACTGGCTGTCCCCTCATCTCAAGTTGTAACTCCACTTGACAAGGTCTGTTACACCAGCTGACCAGATAATTCCCTGCCCCAGTGCCTGCCTCTCCAGGATTTATCTCTGGCCTTAGACCCCTGCTACCACCTGGCAGAATCTGGGTCCCTATGACTCTCTTGGCCCTGCATGTCCTCAACTCACTGCTGTGACCTTTGATTCATATGTTGAGACGGGGAGCTCCTGGAGTGCATGTAGGGCATGGGGTTTGACCCAGAGACCTGCTTGTAACTGAGCCCAGAATAAGGGGCTTTTTGAGTGATGCTGAATGGAATCAAAGGTCTATTTCTGCCACAGACTTATTTTGTGTCCTAGGGAGAGCCTCTGCCTTCTTCTAGTGGCTACCAATATTGAAGCTTCATTCCAGTGGGCCGTGATTCTCTGTCTTAAGAGCTGACTAACGGAGGAGATGGGCACAGTCCCACACTAGGCTGACCGTGTTAATGGGATGAGCTCAGGCAGGAGCAAAGGCCCCTATGTGTTTGTGGGGAGGATGGAGGAGGAAGGGGAAAAGGACTAGGATAGAAGGAAAGTGAATGGGAACGGGGTCCACAGACTACATTGTCTGCAGCATCCCCGGCTAGGCTCTGTGAGGAGCAGGCAGGGAATAGCTGGCATCTGTGCCAATGTGAGTGAGGGATATTGACAGAATAGGAAAAGAAATAGAGGGGACTGTAAACTCCAGCTGTAGGAAGGGCCAGGGGGGTGCTGGTGCAGTATGGGTAGATGGGATGGTGGCCACCTTCTCTCAAGAGAGTCTTGGATGGAGTTTCAATGTGTCCTGGGTGCCCACTCCAGATGAGGATGGAGTGCTGTTCATGTTCTAGTCATGCTCAAGGGTTACTGCACATTTTGCCTCCCTGAGTTTCTCCTGGGAGCTCTGTGGAATATTGGAATAGCTCACTTTCCAATGCCCACTCATATATCTGCTCCAGGCCAGCTGTTTGTCCTGGCTCAGACTTAAACTTAGATCATATTCCTTCTGTGAGACTGCACAGCAGCTCACGTACTGACTGGAGGGAGAGAACAGCTTCAGAACCAGAGGGAGCCAGAGGTCAGACTTGGCTCTCCTGTCCTAGCTATGTGACCTTGGGCAGGTCATTTCACTCCTGAACCTCAGTCTGTGAAATCTGTGAAATAGAGTCATATATATCATGAAGGGGTGTTGTAAGGGCTAAAAACAATGTAAATGACATGCTTAGTTCAATGCCTGAAACATAGAAGAGGCAACATAAACAGTAGCTGTTATTCCTTCCCAGGGTGAGAATCCCATATGTGGCCTCCTTGATAGAAGGAAGCCAGCACTACTTGCACGGCTCAAGGGATGGGGGAGCTGGTCCCCTCTCTAGGGGCGGCTCTGCCTGGAAAACCTCCTTCCCTAGATGCGGCCGATACCTGTTCCTGTTCTGTCTCTGGGGCCACAGTTCATGCTGCTCTGTGGCCATGGAACAGCTCTGTGGCATCTCCTCCAAAGAATCTCAAGAGATCTTACTGGTAATATGGTGCTTGCCTGTATTGCAGGAGCAAGGCTCTGGAAGTTCCCAGCTTGGTTCAAAGGGGTATATTTTAAGTTAGGCTTGCGTAAGTCACAGAAACCCCTTTCCCTGTTCCTGTGAGTTTGGAACATATGAATTGTATCCTGAGTCTGCTTTTTTTCTTGGGTGAACTCTCCCAGTTCCTTCGAACACCCCTCATAGAGGTAAATGCAAGAACTGGGTTCTGGTCCCAAATTCATCACTTCAGGGCAAGTCACTTATTTTCACTGAGCCTTTAGTTCTTCATTTGTAAAATGAAGAAAATAATACTGTCTCATAGGAATACAATGAAGATTAACTCAGAAAAGCAACAAGAAAACTTGGGGTCTGGAAAAGGTACTTGGTAAATACAAAACATATATGTTTTAAAATTATTTTTGGAAAAGCAGTAGTAGGTAAGCCCAACTGATGTTGCCCCTTAGTTTTTTTATGGACTCTTCAAAGGGAATTATTTCAGAGTCAGTGCCATTCCTGGTTTCAGAATAATGCCAAATCAGGTGGAGGATGCCCTCTTAAATTCATAAAGTGAAGCTCTAGGATTTGACTTAATCCATGTAGAGCCTACAAAGTTCCAGACTCATTCACTTAACTTATTCTGCAGTTAGCACCGAGGCCCAGAGAAGGCTAAGCAGATCAGAGGTGGAGGCTGGATCCCATATCTCCCAACATCTAGCACCTTTATATTCCCAGTGCTCACAGCTCTAGATTAAATTTGACTCAATCATAGCTTTGAATCTATCACCTTCCTATACAAGAATCTAGGCTAACTCAATGTAAACAACCTGGGTTCAAGTTCCATCCTCCCAGTTTCTGGCCGTGTGTACTTGAGCAAGTTACTTGGGTCTCTCCAGGCTTCACTCACTTTCCTGTTTTGCGTGACTACACTTCTGAGAACAGGTGTCTGAGATGCCAACTTCTGATAAATCTAGTTAACCCTCCACACAGCCATGTGACTCCAGAAGAGGTATTTTCAAGCTCCTAAGGACCCCAAGAGAGGCTGATACCCCTACCCCCAGATGGTCTGGACAGAGCAGGGAGGTACTGGGGTGGGGGCTGCCTAGGTGAGCATCCTCATTGGCAGATGAGGAAGCCCAAGCTCAAGCAGCCAGTTAGGGGCAGGCAGAGGGAACTGGCATCCAGAGGTCCTGACTCGCAGGCAAGGGCTTCCTTTGCTCCTGCTGCCTCCTCTACTTTTCCCCATGGTTATCATCTGCATCTGTTTCTTTATAACCTAAAGAACGCTGCATGACCCAGAGATTTTAGTCCTACTGTGTGACCTTGACAAAGTCCCCAGTCCTCTATGGGCCCTAGCCACCCTATCTGTGAAATGGGGGTCCTGCGTTTAATGACCACACTGCTCCCTTCCAGTAGAGTCTACGCTGCTTGACTTGAATGCCCTGTAGCAAGTAGCTGGGTTTTTTTCTTTGCAAGGCAACTAGACATCAACCCCTCACCATGGCCCCCAACAGTAAGGCACCTGCTGCCGACTGCGAAAGGGCTTGTTCGTGCTCGCTCCCTTCGTGCCTATCTGCCCGGCCCATTCGCTCTGGAGAGAGGGGTGTTGGAGGACCGAGATAAAGCATCTCCTACTGCCACAGGCATACTGCTCCCCGCCCCCTATTGTAAAAACCACTCTGAGCATCCACGTCCCTATAACCCACTCAAAACGCTGCAGCAGCAAAAGCCAGCGAGAGGGAAGGGCGGCTTGTGCGCGTGCGTCCTCGCAGAGTATTTTTTTTTTTCTCTCCCCTCCCGCCCACGTGCGCGTCCCCGACAGAAGGCGCGCGCCGCGGCGGGCTGGCGGGAAAGCGCGCGGGAAGCCCCCGGCTGGCTCCCAGTCTGGGGGAGGGAGGACCAGAGGCGTTTGGAATGTGCCACTCTCGGAGAAGACGGGGGAGGGGTTCGTGCTCTCCTAGCGTTTCTGCTCCTCCTATTCGCCTACTGATCCGTTAGTTCCCCCCATCCCCGCCACGATACGGAGCCCCACGCCGCGACCACGCTCCCTCCCTGCAGTTGGCCCGTCCCCTGGAACGCGGCTGTGACCTGCGCTGTCCCCTCCGCCGCCGGAGAGGGGCGCTGCGCCGCGCGTTGGGGCCGGAAATACCCGCGGCCTGAGTGGAGCAGCCGAAGCTGAGCGCGCGGCACCACCTTCCACCTCCCGCGGCTGGGCGGGGGCGTCGGG